ATATAATATAATATAATATAATATAATATAATATAATATAATATAATATAATATAACATAATATACTATAATATAATATACTATAATATAATATAATATAACATAGTATACTATAATATAATATAATATAACATAATACAATTGATGCAGTACATTTTTATATTGCATAATATTTTTCTTAAATTCGACGTGGACGAGTATTTTTCCACAAGCGCAACAGCGTAAACATCTCAATTAACAATTTAAATCCTCTTAAAAGCTGCACTTTAATTTTCTCTGCTTATTATTTGCGTCATGCAAAATTCAAACTCCCAGTTGGAAAAAATGTATGCATCGTGACGGAGGTTCTATGCGTGAAATGTTTTTTCGGAGACGTATGGATGTAGCAACTGCGCGGTCAATATGTCTGTAGAACTTTGCGGAAACTGGGAATGTCCGGAAACAATTCCATTGTGCGCGTACGCGGATTAATTATGTGAGCAAGCTTGAATATTGAATATCTATTCATTCTGTTTCCTCCAAAATTCCTTTGTAGCATTCAGTGAGTAATCCGGTTGAATTTTGCATGTTCTATGTAAGTACGTGCACTCGGTGTAAAAGGTATTCCGTACACACTGAATCTCAGATTTTTAACAGTTCGTCGATATTTCAATTGTTATAATTTCGTAAAAAAGCGTCACGCCGTCATAAGTCAGGACTTATTTTAAAGTTCGAAATATCTACCTTCGAAATACATCGATCGGTTTAATCAGATTTACTCGAGAATGTTATAGATTAAAACGTCGCCGAACGACTTTTTTTTAGTCGTTTTCTAGAAAGAGAAACGAGGAACAAGTTCGGTCGCGCGGAGTCCCCGTGATTTCTCGGTGTAGCGGAGATTCCGTAATATTATGAAATCGAGTTCATCGACGATTGTATGGAAAGTACCGGTTTCTTAAAATTCGTTAGAAAACAAATTTAGAATTATGCTAGTAGGATAACTGAAGGGAACTTCATACATATTTCAGCAGATCGGGGTTGCTGTTAATAAAGTAAGAATATTTGAACACACAGACTCGGTTCAGAGTTATTATTACTACTATTATACATGCAAAATTCTTATAGTAGTTGATCTGATCGAATAATCGATACAGTACAAAATAAAACAGGGTTTACCTATTACTAGTGTCAACTATTTTTAATCATTCTGTACAATTTTATTGTCTGAATTTTTCTTTTAAACAAATCTGTAATACCGACCTTGAATAATCTTAAAATATTGGCGATCATGATCGAAACGCCGCTAGAGGAAGCTCCAATGACGCCAGTTACTGGTTTGTGAGGCTCGTACGTCGGTAGCGTGTCGTTTTCACATTTGTACTCCGATATATCCTGGAAATAAACAGAACAAACATTACGAAAACCATATACATGGTAGATTCAGGTCTGAAATGTACCCTTATTTATTATATTTAATTTCTGCTTATTATTATGGCTTTAGGTACATACCGATGCAGTACGATATGTAAACTGTCAATGTTTTTATTATGCATAGCAGACGATAAAATGTTAAACAAATAATAATCGTGCGATAATGAAATGAACGTGATAACGTATAACGTAATAATAATTTGTTAATTACATTTGTAAGACTAATTGAAATTATAAGAGCAGATTCAAGGTGACCTATATCCTTAAAATCATTTCACAATAAATAAGTATGAGGTATATAATCAAATTTGTTTCCATTGCGTTTCTATTATCATGTACAATTGTTCTTTATTATTTCAGTAGGTCAGTCGGCTTATTCCTTTTATAATGTACTGATTTTTAGCCTAGTTTTATAGACAGCTCGTTGGGATGGCTTCTTATTCTATTTATAAGTGAAAACGTTCAAAGGCTGGTAAAAAATATTGTAGTAGCTGTTTTTAAAATCTTTTAACGCTTGTAAGTCGATTTTGCGTTAACGCATTTTTTTATTTATTATTTTTTGTCATTTCGAATAATAGCAAAATTAGAGAAACGCATTTCAGTCATTGTCCAGCAGACTTGTCCCTCTATCATCTAAAAATATTCAAGTCATAAATGGCTTGAAGTTCAGTTTTAAAAGAAGTTATTGCGTTTTAAAGGGTGTTCACTCAGTTTTGTCCCCCACTGCAAAATTATAAATATTAATATGAGAGGAATTTCTTCAGCGTTCAATGCACTGAATTCTGCAAAGCAGAATTTATTAGCCGGTAATTACTGCTTGTTAATTAATTGTATACATTGTAACGTGAGCTCTATTGACAATGTCTTGTGAAAATATGTTATTGAACTCGCAATTAATTCTGTAATATATGTCACGAGAATTTCGAAGTACAGTTATTTGGACAACAGTTAATTTAATCACAGAATTGTGCAGTTTAATATTGTACAATATAGTACAACAAAATTTTATGCGAACGTTACGATGATCGAAGAAATGGTAATGCAAGGAAACGATTCTTTGCCTAAACAATTCTTTCGCCTACTATTTAAAACAAAAGGCGTGTAGATAATTGTGTTATGTTAATTTGACAAGTATTCTTTTCTCGTTTCTTTTTTTTTAAAAGAAATTATCATGGTAGTTTTCAACTTGTTACTGCTGCCAGTAATTGCTTATCGATTCCATGTATCATAAATGTTTAGGCGAATATCAGGACGTAATTATCTGGCAGACAAGTAGTACGTACATATTTCATGAAAGTAATATTAAAACGTTTAGTTGAACGATTGAATTTCAGGGCAGTAAATTAAAATTATATGAATAATACAATAATAAAGTCTGTAGTTAAAATATTGTTATTTTATTAAAATACTTTTAGCAACAATAATTGCAATAAGAATATTATACCGTTATGTCAATAAATTTAATCCAGTTAATGATATATCTTACGGCTTATACGTATATGTATAGTTTTAGTTCGCATTTCAAATATCGCTTTACTCCGAACTGTGTGTCGCGTCAGTGTGACCGATTAAGCGTTTATAGATTTGCATACATTATTTTGTGAATCCTCGTCACTGCCATATCATAGGCAGGTGAAATTCGTGAGAGAATGGTACTGCGTTTTAGCCACTTCGGGGCACAAATTGGTCATTAGAGGATATCAATATTAATGGAACATAGAAAAATGTATAGTGTATTCATAGAATTACTCGAATACGTGCAAGATTTCACGATTAGACTAAAGTTTCGAATGTGATATTACTTATTTAATTTATAATATATAATTAATTGTAATATATATATATATATATATATATATAATAATATATATCATTATTATAAAGATTATAACATATAAATATAATATAATAAAATTATAATAAATTACAATAAATAAGTTTTGTTGCATAGATTTTACATTTATTTTGCGTACACTTTGCATACATTTTGCATAGATCTTGCATATGTTAACATATTATAGATGCATAAAGATCCGTGACTTAGTTATTAACGCGAGTTTATTTAGAATTTTTGAACGTGGAAAAAAAGGATGCGTTTTTTTAAATTGCACGAGATTGAAAGTGTGCTCGCATCCCGGAGAGCGGAATACGTCGACGTTTCCGAATATTTTTCTATTTATTTCAGATGTCACACTGTGCAACGGAGCAAAACTGCACTCCACCGACGGCGTAAACGGAAATTTGAAATTACATTCGATTTTGAATCCTTTCATGAGTGGTGTATACTGAATATTTGACGGTTTTTATTACGCGGAGCGATCGAATCGGCGCGAGAGACGGCACCCGCGCTAGGCGTTGAGTACTACTACTGGGTGGCGTGCCACCAGTTTTGCCAAACCATTATCGTTCAAAATGAAACCGCGATTTGTAACGTCTGCAGAAACCAGAGATCGAATGAAACTTTCAGCTCTTCTCGAAACGAAAGTTATTCATTCAACTTTAAACATTTCAGTTATTTCTACTCTTCACTTTCGGCGTTAATACTTTTCGTAAAAATTCCGGAATCACTTCGATTCATAAAAGTTCTGCATGATCATACAATTTCTAACAGATATTTAACACTAATCTTACCGTCGTCGGTCAAATCACCGGTTCGACAATTCTTGTTCTTCGATTATGAAAATTATAAAGACACTTCCACTGGGAACCATTGAATAAATTTATTAATATAAAGATTCGAGAAAATCTAAATCAATTGAATCTTTTTAATTTCTATGAGGCAACACGGACGAGTCATATTTAACATCTAGTACGGATAGCGTTAAAATTATTATTAAAATTATTAATATTAAAATTATTAAAATACATATAAAAGGTAGGAATATATCATTTTAATTAGTATTGCAGAACTTCCGATTACAGTAATTTTTCCCTAATTCGCGTACGAGATTGCGCACAAAAATTCCGCACAATTTGGGAAGAGGAGATACGCGCGCGCGCGATTATTCGAGCCTTGCGGTTCGTTTTTATAGTTATCGATTGTCAACAGCTATAAAAACGAGACGCGATTGTCCATTTTTGTGCGCCATCTGAGCGCGTATTAGGGAAAAATTACTGTATTTCCATAGGGCAAGTCCAGCAAAGCTTGGCCAGCGGGAGAGACCGGCCAGTGTAAATGACGACGCCATACCGGCGTTGTGCTAAAAGTCGGAAAACACTTTACTAAATTGATTGTTGATTACGTATTGCAATTGTCGCGAAACTGTACCCTAATCTTGCAAATTGCGTTTAAAGTTTCATACGGAACTGAACGTTTCTTCGCCAATATATATTCTTAACAGTAATTGACAGATAGATAAGTTTATTTACACTATTGTAATTTTAAGGAATATATTATGCATAAAACTACTGTATAATCTCAATAGTACGCATGTGTTCATTTCTACCTTATGTTAAAAGTACGGTCGGTCTCTCCCGCGATTCTGGTATAGACCGATCATACTAATCCGGGAGAGTTCAATCACATTAATTGTTCCGTTCTTCGACGGGATATTTACTCTTCTTCTATCCGGTTTTCTTCGGAGCAAATTTGCTCTCTTTTCAAGTTGGAAATAGCCTAATTTCCGAAGAATTCCCTTAGCGAGACAATACCCGCATTCCCCTTCAACGAACGGTATGCACTTAATTCCACAAACAAGTGCAATTGTCATGGTCAGAGAACGCGATAGGCAACTTGCAAACAATATAAATAGTTCGGAGAACATTAAGATAAAGAAGAACAGCGGGATTAAAAGGAAACGCAGGAATGTTTCGATTAAAAAGGGGGAAGAATGTAAAGAGACGTAGAAAGCAATTAAAAGAAACATTCGACTCATTGGAGACTTTCAAAACAATGGAACAATTGCAACCAATCGCAACAAAAATAAACATAAATCTTCGTAATTAAAAGTTATCCTTTTCTCTTCATTTTACGATGTCTTTCTATTATATTTCTTCTCTCTTTTTTTCATCATTTTTCCTTCTTTGATTTTCGCAAATGTCAGGATACATGGTTAACCCCTTGCCGTATTTTGACGAGTCCGACTCGTCATGAAAATTTCTGATAATAATTAATTGAGTATAGATGTTATTCTGTCCTTTGAAATTGGAATAAAATTCTAATCTCTTGTCATCAATATTTAAGCATTCGAGTAAATTTAGGCACACGATAAGCATCAATTTTCTTTCCCTTCTAAGAAATTATTGCAATTGAAAAATTTCTAATTACAGCAACTGCGAAGAAGACGGTATGCCAAGGGGTTAATATTCTTACTGGCGCTTCCTATATTTCGCAGCAATAACTGTCGAAATGACGAACATAAAATATCAATAATTGAGGATCGCGAGTGGTTGGGAGGTGGTCCATGTGCGTTATCTCTTAATCCGTGCGGTGCTTATGCCTGTGTTTCTCTAAAGTCTTGAGCAAATGTGTATCAGAGGAGACTACGCATATTTATCTACTGATACGATCTTCTCCTAATTGGATATCAAGTTTCCCGGATATCGCGTTCGTGTACTCGTAAAACAGTCGGCATGGTGTTACGCTTTCTACAATCTGAATCTGAAAGACTAATCGAATTCTTCGCCCCGCGTTTGGAAAGTAATTATGTGCCATGCCTTATTAAAATTCCGCCTTGAGTAGGTTAAAAGTATGGCTACGGCTGGCGTGCGCAGCTAAGGCACGTGTAAAACAATTCACGACTTTATTAAATAATGGCATTAAGTTTGCTTAATAGGATCAGAACGGCACCACTTCTCGTAAGTCGTGCTTCAAAGGACATCAACTGCATAAAGGATGCTGCAGCAGATTGTTTAATGAGCTGAAGAATTCCTGCATTTATAAAAGGTGAAGCTTGTTGACTACGGCCAAACAAGATAAGCATTTTTCTTAACTATTTAATGAGTCTCGTAACGTTTCAATTGGCCTGATGAATAAAATGAGACGTTTCTTTATCATTTTCTATTTGACGTTTATACTAATGAATACGGTAATTTCTCCCTAATTCGCGTTCAGACCGCGCACAAAAATGGACAATTTGGGAAGAGGAGATACGATTATTCGAGCCACGCGGCCCATTTTTACAGTTTCCGATTGTCAACGATTATAAAAACGATTTTATATATATAAATATATTATAATGTTTTATAAGCGAAGTCAAAGACTTTTATATTAATCGAATGTATAAATCGATAAATCGTTGCAGAAAGACAAAGAAAGAAGTTCTATTTGATAAAATGATATTGCAAAAAGTTTCTCCGCTGTCTAACAATCATTTCAAAGGAGAGAAGATTTATTTGGAAATAAATAAATATAGCGTAATAAATGAATATGCATAGCGTAATACGCGATTTTTCAGTGCTTTAACGGGAATTGTTTACGCAAAAACCATTATATAACAAGAAATTATTGAACCAGGCGATATTTTAATTGGAATATAGCATAACGGTGCAACAATTTAGCTTTCTACACGTTCTGCACGTTAAAAATCCAATCAAAGTTTTAATTTCGTTTGTTCTTTTTCGCTGACTTATTTTTCCGTTTGAAGATTTTATAAATTGCATTTCCGAACCATAAAGCATATTATTGATTTTTTAAATGTTTCCATTCGGAAACGTGAATAGTATAAATGCCGATATGGCGGGTCAAAGTGACCGAGTTCGATTTAATTGCTTTTTTTGTAGTATACGTATAAATACATTAATCTATCTCGAATCTAACAATGGTTTTGTATCTTTAAAAATTATAAAATGAAGAATCTGAAATGGTTAATTTTCATCAATTAAGAATCACTGTCATGAACGGCTATATGTAACAAAAATTCCTTAACTTTTGCTCACATTTTTTCGTACACTTCCTGTTAATCTGACAATTTAGAAATTGCTTCATATAAACAGTAAATTTCTATAAGTTGATGTTCGAACCTACTTGTCAATCCTTTCTGATGTTTCTCAAGTTAAAGGGGTCGCACATCCTTTCTCACGAACTAAACTTCACATATCCGCCGGAAATAAAACGCAAGGGTGTCGGATGCAGCGATATTTGCGGGAAATAAAAGAGACACGAATGAGTCGAAACTCGAAACAATTGCTATTAGTGGTTTGATCACATTTCGCTCTGACACCGTTCGTTTCCGTACCAACTACCACCCGTATTTTAACGTCAAAAGCGGGACTTATTAATGAATACGACACCATTCCAATCTTCTTTTTATTGCACTCTCACTCGACATATAATACATACGAATGTAGTTTTTCCGAAACAAATTGTGGTTTGCTTTTGCAAGCTAGAAACCTAACAACGTGAAAAGTTCGATCATCATTTCACAATTCAAGACACATCGAACAACTATACCAATTGGTGGATTACATAATCTTCGTCGAGATCACGTAACAGTCTTAAATTTCATGTCTGACAATGTACAGGGTGTAATAAAAGGTTTTGTCATAGACGCATTCTACACCTTTAGACCGATGGAGATCAGTTAAAAAACTTTCGGCAAAAGTAACTTTGACCATATTTTTCAAGGTCAATTTTGTTAAAATATAATGAATCACGAAAACATTCGGGCACTGTTTAAAATGGAATAATTTTTTAAAGATTGGATCAATCCACTTGATTGATAGTAATTAAAATTGTATCTAATAATATCTGTTTCTCGCTATACATTTTACTGCCACACGTATTAAAACAAAATATTCTGCATTTGTAACGTACAGGAGAGATTATCTGCTAGGTCTTCCTCGAATAACTGATATTAGAATGCTATCGCTAATTAATTTTTATATTATATTTTTATATTATATTTTTACATTATTGGATTGTTTCGACTATGTGTCTAATTTATAGCGTCGGTAGCAACCAAGGGTCGTCGCTAAACTTTTGTTGCTAGTTAAACTAAAGAAGAAACAGCTATTGTACGAACACGGATTGCTTCGATAATTACAATGCTTGAGTTATGATAGAAACGAATGAAATACAAAGCCTCGAACAAGACTTGGAAAAGTGGATAAATCGCTGTGCACTTCTCAAATCGGTCTCGGTTAATCCCGGAGGAATTAGTCACTGTTAACTGTTTTGGCGTCCAGAACAAAACGAATGCATTTTTTACTCGAGCGCTGTATAAAGCTTACAAGCAGAAGTAATTAATTTACCTGCATTTATGTACGTACATTAGGATGGCTTTTATTTACTTACGACGAACTATATTCTGCGGCATCTTCCGGAATGGCTCTAATTAAATAAAAAAAAATGTTCTGCGGACAATTTCGGCTCGATCGGATAACGGGAAAATGCGCCATCGAGCCCTCAAACATTAACCCTTATCGGACGTCAGATATTCAGGCCTAATATATAATGTCACGTGGGACGTGACATATTTCCGATAAGGGTTAAAATAATTGATTGCACGCTCGTAAAATCGGTTTTCTCGAATATCTTCTAAATTATCGACTATATCGAAAAATATGTTAAACTAAATTTGCAAAGTTGGACGGGCAGCGTCGCTCAGTGGTCGGTTTCCGTACAAAAAGCGAAAAAAAAACATATAACAACAAAAATTATATTATTAAGTCTTACTTCTTCATTTTATATTACTAATCACATATATTTGAGTTTTCGTTGGGATAGAATAATGAAAAAAAAATGCAGTGCAATTTCTTTTTATAATGTTGTTTCTCAATTTTGAAAACTGTATTGTATTTCGATTATTTGCGATCAATAAGAACTAAGAAAAATGTGTAAATTTTATCTTCGACCTTAATGTACTGCTTCTTGATAGATTAAAAATCTTTCTCGATGCAGTCGGAATTTGTGTGAATCATTGAAAAAAAGAATGTTTGTCAAAATATCATGATAATATATTCGTCGAGGGAAAGGTAAATGTTTCATCGAAGTAGCATTTTTGTCATCGAAGATGATGATCGGCAACGAACATAGTTTTTGGTTTGCAACTGGTTTTTTGAACAATTTCTTTTACATTTCACTACGAATAGCTACAACTTGAATAATAACAATTATTCAGGTACCATCATTGAAAAATACATATTCGATCATTTTCAAAGTTTTTAACACTCACTTACTTGGTTCATGTATGATCGTACAAATTCCATACTTTGGTCGAGGGCATAAGTATCGCTGCTACAAGAGTCAAGGATGAGCGCACCCAAGGTGGTATTGGGTAATAATTCAGTGTCCGCGTTTATCTCATCAAGAACGTAGAGCATTGCTTCCATACGCTGCATCCCTTTCTCTTCTTTCACCGCACCGCACGGCGACTGGCCGACACCAGATACCTGGGAAGAAACATATGATTAACCTTTCAATGTGTAGTCTGTAGCAGAGTCGGGCATTATCCCAATAAAATTTGATTCGAATAACATTTCGAACGAATTCTTCGAATAAAATTGTATTCGGGAAATACATATTTCGAATAAATTCTCCGAATGGAAAAATTGTTATCATTGTCTTGATAGTCTGATTTTGTTATAACGGGTGTTCTAACTGTGTTTATTATAAAGTAATCGTAGATCCCGACTTCTTCCGACGCCATAAATGTAAAAAAAGGCTAAATTTGATGAAACGCAAAAATAGCATGTTCCGTCGCCCCTGACATAAGCCTACTCGTATTTAAGATTTCGCGTGCACCAGCAACAAGCGATTTTTCTAAGATAACTGTAGATATCGATCCACCTTTTACAGATTAAGTAAGACAAGTGTGCTAATTATTCAAAGTGTAAACAAGTTTTAGAAGGAAAAGTGCCCACACTTATAATTTAACAATGTAACACTAGGCCAGTTTCTCTTTGATTAAACAGTCCCGACCGATCTGAACAGGTACAAGTATTGTTTGTTAACGATTTATCAGAATGAAGAATTTTCAATGATGATTTTCTGTTCTATTTAATTGCAACAAATTTCATTATTCCATTTTCCCGATGACTTCGGATGGAATGAATATTTTCTTCGATTACATGCACCAATAATTTAGTAACACCCTGTAAATAGAATTTACTATTTTGCGAATTACAGTTTCGTTTCTAAAATACCATTAGTTGAAAATTGAAAGTTCGCCTACGTGATGGCACTACTTAAACCCCAATTAGCTGAGCGGTTCACCGCACACGCTCACGCGCACACGTGGGAGCACATGTGTGTGTGCTGATGATATCCCCGAAACGAAATTTCAATTTGCAAAATGGCACAGAACTTGCCGATATCTTTTTACGTCAATTCATCCGCGTCTCGAATTAGTTATTCGAACAGATATATCAAATAAAACTTGTCCAGACACAAAATTCGTCCTTTGCTTTTTTAAACGGGACCGTATATTTTTATTTAATCATGCATGAGATGATTCGTTGTTCATTCCGATGCGAATCCATTGAATTACACGTTAAGATTTTAATACTAAAGCAACCAAGGCGATGGCAATGATCGGTCTCACACGTTTTATTTCAAAATGCTGAAATTATGAACTCTTTTTTATACAATACAACGATTGAACAATTTCGTTTGTAGAGATACACATTATAATGAAAATGGCGAAAGGGTTAAATAATTTCAGTCTCGTCACTTTTATAAAACAACGCGTTTAGCGCTAATGTAGGTCAAGGTCATTCGTGATCGTTCTTATATGGTTAAAAATTAAACAATTTCACGATCAAAATAACAAGTGCTTAGTACTTTCTATGCTGCACTATACTGCACTTATAATATTAAACAATTATATATATATTATAAAATTATATTATAATATATATTTATTATAATATAATAGTATAATATATTAATATAATATAATATAATATAATATAATATAATATAATATAATATAATATAATATAATATAATATAATATAATATAATATATTTATTATAATATATAATTATATTATAAAATTAAACAATTTCACAATCAAAATAACAAATGCTTAGTACTTTCTATGCTGCACTACACTGCACTTTTATATTTATATTTATTGCGAAATGTATTTTGAATAACTCGATGTTAGAAACACTGCGATATAATAGGCAACTTACTTTTTTGTCCTTTTCTTTAATTGTTTACGTCTGAATAAAGACTCTAGATTACGATTACGTTATGTAAAGAAAATATTGATCTTTGATATTTTTCCAGTGTTCGCATCACTGTGCGACGTAGTATAATTTCGTTCACGATTCAAAGTAACCTGAACGGTGCGCGAAACCTTCAAAATTTGAACAATTTAAGGAGCTAAGGTGACAGCTCCAGCAATTTCTTGATTAAAAATTTTCAAAATTATTAGTTGATGATTATTTGATCGCAAAAACCGTATCACGGCTTTTTGACCTGCACTGTATTCTTATTTCTTAGACGGTAATATCACTTTTCACGTTTTAGAAGGGTGAAACGAGCTGACTCAGTTGGTTTAATACTTCGTGCTCGTTTGGAGGACATTAGGCAATCTCAATGTTATCCTTTTCTGTGAGTGAACTCCCCTCGTTGCGTTTCAGAGTGAACAAGATCCGAGAGGAAAAAGCAAAAGTCGCGACGCTTCCAAATTGTTGACCTTTTTCTTCCGATGAAGCTTTCTTGCAATAGCCACTTTGAAAAAAGCACTGTAAGGGTCCGGTTAAAGGGAAAATCCACGTTCCGCGAATTCTCAGAGATAGAAAGGAAGATCTTCGTGCTGTTATTTCACTTTTAGCGTTTATACTTAGCGTTACAATTAAGCACAACAGAATAACAAAGAGTTTCTTGAATTTAATTTCTTAGGCTTCTAAATTTCTTTTTTTCTTCAATTGTAGAGCTTAAATAGCATCCTATGAAATCTGTCATTTAGAATCACAATTTGGCTTTCGCGTTCATTTGGCGATGAAAATGCATTTCGTTTATACTAAGACAAAAGTAATCAAAACCACGCACACTCTCGCTGTACGGATTTTGAGAAAACGATTAACAATTCGTGGGTTAATCAAGGACTGCATTTATTATTACTGCGATTATCACACAAA